AGATTTTGGAATTGACACATAATTTATATTTTCTTTCTTGATTGAATTTGCACATCTAACTTAGAGAATTCTAGAAAAATTTTCTTGAATATTTATAATACTCGGTCGCCAGATAAACAACAGGTGGAAGTAAACAACATGTGGAAGTAATTTTTTTATAATTGAACAAAATCTTTAATGACTAGATAAAACCTACCATTTTCCTTAATGAAGTCAAGAATTTATTTTTTATTAATAATAATAGGTTTTTTCTGTATTGGTCCCTTACATCATTAATATTTTGAAATTATACATTCAACTTACTAATTAATCTTAAATCATTAATATTTTAAGGCTTTAAACATTATTATTTCTCTAGAAGATAAATTGTTAAAATCACACATGGAAATATCTAAAAAAAATAGTATACTATGATAATTATAAAGTTTTTTACAACCGCGTTATAGTAAATATATTAACTTAAAGTAAATAATTATAATATTTGACAACGTGCAGTGCACGTGCATTCCATACATACATACATACACACACACACACACACACACACACACACACACACACACTTAGGGTGTAACTAGGTTAGTTACACCTATCTTTAAAAATACATGTTTGACCATCGATATTAACGTTCAATACAATTCATTGTGATCTACATGTCACCAAATGAGCATGGATCAAAAATCATGTGGTTTGGGAAATTCTATCGTATAATTCAAGCAACTCAAAATAATGAGCATTTTAGACTGTTACAGACCGTTTATTTCTTGGTCATTAGATGTACAAACTAGAAAAACCTTATCTATGTGATTTTTTATCTCCGTAAATTTTTGAACACATAGATCGCAATAAATGATGTTGATCGTTAATATTTATACTCAAATATGTACTTTTACAAGTGGGTGTAAGTAAGTTAGTATTTCTTGGTCATTAGATGTACAAACTAGAAAAACCTTATCTATGTGATTTTTTATCTCCGTAAATTTTTGAACACATAGATCGCAATAAATGATGTTGATCGTTAATATTTATACTCAAATATGTACTTTTACAAGTGGGTGTAAGTAA